AAAAGCACTTGAGGCAGGGTTGTGGTATGTTCTAGGCTAGGAGACCTGTCCTGGATCTAACACAGTTCTACCAGTTGAAGGTCAGCCCAGTGAAGGGGAGAACCCAGTACCGTGGTGATCCTGCCCAGGACCAGCCTGGACATTTGGACTCTGTGACAGATTTAGTGTCCCATACTACCCCCACCTCCACTCCCTGGCAAATACAGACTAAACTGTGCCTTTCCTGTTACTGCTATCCATCACTTCCCTCAGCTCCTCAGAACCACACCTCTGGGTCTCTAGGAATGGGGTGCTTGGCCCATGACTGGTGTCAGTGTGTCCACCCCAGCCCCTGCCACAGCAGGTGTCAAGACCTGCTATACTGTCCCTCTCCCTGAGAGCACTGATTCCAGAACTCATCTCACGCCCCATGCCTGCACTCCTTCCTCCTGATGCAGACACCAGCTGGGTCTAGAAATCCCTCTCACCACTGAGAAACTGCTCTCCTGTCCAAGGGGGCGATGGGAAGGCACTTCAGGTCCCAAGGAGCTATGGGTGCAGGTGACACAAGCTTCCATGTACATGGCAAACTCACACCCTGTCAGTCAACTCTGCGTTTGAGGAAGTCCCCATTTCCCAACAGCGCTATACCAAGTGTGCAGAGCACGGCCCACTTGGCAGGCCGACATGACTCAGGGCAGGGCCTGCAGTCTTCAGCAGCAGCTCCCCTGGCATGAAGAGGCAGAAAAGCTGCCACCAGGCCCTTACCAGGCCTGGATTCCTGAAGCTCCCTTACTAATTGGCAGCACTCACAGTAGCCAAATGGGTTCAAAAAATCTCATGCACTCAGTAAGAATTTTAATCGATACTTGAACTTGTGTTAAGTTTGGTATCTGATGCTTGATATCCTTTTCTTTGTTAGAAACTGCGTGGAGGAGACTGTGACCATGAAGTAGTGATGACCTTTTCTACCCAACAAGGCGACTGGATGCAAACAGAAGCACAGCTCAGATTTGGGAAAAATCAACCACTGGCTTTTGGAGCTCAGCACAGTCATTTACTGTTTAATTACTGCTGCAGTGGAGAAACAATTAGTAGTTAAATCTGCTTGCCAGTTAGGGCCTCCACAGAAAATTGTTTTTATCTCAAGATGGCCTAACACAGTTCAGGTAAGATTGGAATGGCTGGGGAAGTTGGGTAAAGAGACTGTGCCCCATCTCTCTGCGTCTCCCTACTCAGTGCTCAGCAGCCTCAGGAGAACACAGCCGGCACACAAAGGAGAACTTGGTGACTCCTGGGTTAAGGGATCATAATTAAAGAAGCCAACATCACCTGCCTCCAGCCGAAGTATGTGGGAAAAGGAGCCACATGTTCAGCCTTCCTGCTGAATCTAGCGAGGAGGAAGGAAGTGGTACAACACAGAGCTGTGCCCTTCACAAACATCAATGCTGTAGCAGACAAGGAAGGCCTATGAATGCTCCCAGGTTAGTGCTGTGGAGATGCGAGACTGTGTCCTTTCCTCTTTCAGGACCCTACTTGGGATCCTGAAAGAGGAAAGGACAGGTCACCAAGGACACAGCTCAAGCAGACAGGAGCGCCAAGGCACTTCTCAGTGTAAAACTGTCTGCAGGACAACATAGGTTTGTATTGCACAATCCCTTCATGCAGATATAGGTTGGTTTTGGTTTTGTTTTTTGAGATTTGTGATAATTTGAAAGAACTCTCAGAATCACACAGCCTAAAAACATTGAAAAAAATTAACAGAAAGGTATGTCGTAAATGCATGAAACACACAGATAATAGTCTGTTTTATCATTTACTACCATAATTGTAAAAAAGTTAAACTTGATCGAAACATATACAGACACAGACCATCCAAGTGTGACTGGCAGTTGAGAAGTGCAAAGGTGAAGACACAGCCTGGAATCACAGCACACAGACCAGGTGGTGGCGGGGGACCAACAGAGTTGCTTCCTGTGGCTCTCACAGAGTCATGTGTGACACTTGTTCCCTCCAGTGAACTGGTCCTCTCCAGCACACTGCTACCACAGTAAAAGGCATCGCTCATGGTCTCACATATTTTGCACCATACATAATACATGACATAATGAGAACAAAATGTGTTCTCATTAAGGCTTCTGGTCAACAGCAGGCTGGAAGGAGTTCAACTTTAGGGAGTTAGAAGTTATATGTGAATTTTCAACTGCACACCTAGGTGGGAAAAGGGGTGGAGGGTAGAAGCCAAAGCCCCACACTGTTCCTGGATCGAATGAGTGTGGATGATGTACAAGCACACCCTTAATTTTAGGAAAAACAGTGAACGTTTAGGAGTAAAGTGCCCTGGTGATGGGAATGTCCTCTCAAGTGGCCACCCCAGTTCATGTACTTATACAAACACTCACATAGATGTTCACATGCATGCACACACACACACACAGAGGAGTAAGAATGAGTGAACAGGCATACGAGTAAAAATGTTAAACGCAGCTGACTCTGGATAATGAACACAAGGGCTCTTGCACTATTCTTATTCTCATAACTTTCAGAGCAAATTTATATCCAAATTAAGTTAAAAAAATTACAAACAATAAAAAAAAGAACAAGAACCCCCCCCCCACACACATGCATGCACTCTTTTGCAGATTCAGATTCAGGAAAACCACCAGCTCATTCCACATGAAGCTCCTCCTCAGATGTGTGGCGCCTCTGCAGATTCACTTGGGAGGTGGGAGAGGTGGAAGGAAGAAAGTGCCAGAAATGCACAAACCAGGTGAGCACAGAGAAAGCCAACAGCTGAAATGGGCACAGCCCCATCCTGCTAAGGCTTGAGGAGTGTGAGGTTCTGCCACATGTGGACTGTAAGAAGAGCCCATGGTCCTGCACATCCAATCCACAGAACCACCAAGGCCAGTGATGAGGAGCAGCAAAGCCTCAGCCCCACCCAGGGGACAGTAGGGACATGGCCAGTAAGTCAGCAAACCCTTAACAGATTTTCCAGGTGGACTGAAAACGCTGTCAGAAACGTCTCCACTGACAATTTTAAGCAGAAATTCATGTTCACACCAGACAGCAGCCATTTCCCTGGCTGATCCTGTAATACATACCTACGGTCAAGAGGTAGAGAGACAGAAATAGGCATAAGAAACAAAGGCCACATTCACTCACAGTAGAGGACCTTTCAGAGCAATGTCTGGCCAGGAAGGGATCTGAGTGCCGCCTGATTGTCTGGATCCTGAACCGCCAGGTGGCATGCCCAGACCAATCATGGAGAATAATCTCCTTTCCTAAGACAGGAGTCCTTATAACTTGCAAGAGAGGACTTCAGGCAAGAGTCTATTCCACAATCAAGAGCAGATCTGCCTCAGAAACAGTCTTCAAAGCCTTATCTGAACCAAAACAGGGAAATAGAAGGTTCAAACTATGCTTATTTGCGATGGATGCTCTGATTCTAACTTACCTTTCCTTCTAGAAATCTTTGCAAAAACAGACAGTGTTCAGCCTGGAAATAGAGCTTAGGTGGATGTCACTCCACTGTTGTTTAGTTGCTATACACATGGTTATCTTTTGGGGTGAGGAGGAAATAAAACTGGAGAACAATAAAATGTTAAATTCTATGGTGCATCAAACTGAGCTGCCAAAAAGACCACTATGAAAAAGGGCAGCAGTAGCTTATCAGCCTCGATCGTTACAAAATTAAAAAGAAAACCCTAATGACAGCAGTACCAGAAAGTACAACAGCCCTATGGTAACCTTACCAAGAAAAATGTTAACGAAAGAAAAGAGAAAGAACTATTTTTTGGTGTGGAAAATGAAGACTGCCTGAAAAATTAAGATATCTTTTATATCAAAGTAACTGCTTTTGTATAGCTCCACCCACTCCATGTGCCTTTTTAAATGAACAATAAGGTCTTGATCTTGCAGTTCATGCCAGCTTCACCACTTATGACCTCCCCTGGGAAGGTCCTGGCTACTCTGTGCCTCAGTTTCCCCATTTGTATGAAAGGAACGCTGTGGGAGCCTTTGAAGGTTGAATGGGTTTGTGTCTGGCAGACAGTTTGCATTCAGTAATCATTAGCTGCACTCTTACCACCAGCACACCTTGGGGGAAGAAGGGACAAATGAGAGTAAAGGAGACAAGAAAAACAATATACATAATTACTGTTTTAATTAAAACAGTGTGGCACTGACCTGAATCAAACATCAGTGGAAGAGAGCAGATAACCCAAGAACATCACAAACACACTTTATTAAAATACAATTTACAAACTACAGTAAACTAATTAGAAATGAGTCATTTAACAAATGGCTTTACTAAGCTGGTAAGTCTCACTGTGCATCACACTTGGAATGAGCCCAGATGGAATGAAAACAAGTGCTTAAAACACAAAGAAGACAGACAGACATAGGTAAAATTTTATATTAATTTGGAGTAGGGACAGACTTTATGTAAAAATAAGGGAAAAGAATAACAAAGTGGCAAGCAGGAAAACAGAATCAATAAATGTAAAAACATTATTTGCCATGTAAAACATCTCTTTAAGCCAGAAGAAAAAAAAACAGAAAGCAGTATGAGCCAACAATTTAGATTTTAAAAACCTAATGAACAACTGAAAACCACTGAACCTCATTAGGGCCTTAAAACTAAAATTCAAGCCACAGTGCATCTTAACCGAGGGATGAGTGGCCACAGGAGCCCTGAAGGTCATGCCCCTACCAGGGCTTCCTCCCCAGGGAGCCACAGCTGGAGACAGAGACCCTACAGGGCCTCTCCTTACAGAGGGAAAAGGAGGGTGAAAATCCACACTGGGAATAAACAGTCTCAGTTATGAAGATAACCAAGTTGTGAGGCCATTCCCACATTCCTCAGTCACACTGAGGAGCAAAACTGTATATGCCATTTTCTCCAGTGAGGTACGGGAAAGGGTAGGAAGAACATATGCTATCAGTGGCTAAGTTGCAGGTAAGATTACATGTCACTTGTATTTCCCTTCTAGTTTTTAAAAATTTTCTACCATGAGCATATAGAACTTTAATACTGAGGAAAAAAATAAATGTGGTCAAGCAAGGAAAGATGTTACCCATGGATGAGCAATCAACAACCGTCAAGCCTCCAGGGCTTTCCAGAAGTCCTCCTAGGTCTGTAACATCCACCATACACTCTCCTTCGTCTCCCACGGGCACCCCCAGCGGTCTAGCTCAGTCTGCATCTGTCCACCCAGATTCCATGAGCAGCTGCAGGAGGAGGCCTGCTGCCTGAGTCCCTCCAGGCCCCCACCTCAAGTGCTCCCAGTGCCCAGCCAGTCCTGCTTCCTGGGGACAAACAGGCACAGCCATGCTGGCCCAACCACAGAACTGTCTTGATGTTTTCCATAGCATTTTCTAAAAAGGGCTTAAACTATCCTTCAACCACAGAGAAATTTCTTATAGATGCTCCTTGACCCACTGTCAGATAGTGTTTTCATAGGTCCCGAGTACCACACACTAAAACACTGCACCTGGATGAAGTTTCACCTGCCTGAAGTATGACCAGTTTACCTGGTCACCAGTACCAAACTGTCTCTTAATACTCCCCTATTTTATTGCCTAAAAAACTCACATTCCTTCTTTCTTCATCCCACCATAATACATGGGATGAAGGAAGTTCTGCTTTACAGAAGAAAGCCAAGACACTGACCGATGGGAACCATCCGCGGGAACTCCTCCCACCCGGCACGAGGGCACTTGGTGGTCAGAGACAGCTGCAAGAAGCCAGCTTTTCTTTGTTTCTCATTAAAAAGGCAGATGAGTGCTCTCATATAACCCACAGCCACACAGTGAGCATGTTGGTGCCCACTCTCCTCCCAGGATGATGTCTGCTCTGAGCAGGGTAAGTAAAAATCAATTCTTTGTATTGATCCAATGCTCAAAGCTGGACTCTACACTCGGAATTTTATTAGAAGCATCTCACTTTCTGTTTGACATTTAGATAGAGAGATACACACAGGATAGAAAAATAACTAGGACAGTACCATGTCCTCTGTCAGCTCCTGGGCAACTCAGCACGGTGACTGGGGAGCAGAAGCCCCCTACCAACACAGACCAAAGGATTCTTCCCCAAATTCAGTCCTTGGTGGGCTGAATCCAAATTCCTCAGTGGCCTTTGGGCACAAAGCCCCATGCCACACTGCAGCTGAGCTCTGAAATTCAGGAGCAAAGACCTGCAGACACTGTGCCCCAAGAAGGGCCAGGGCAGAAGCCTACGACTGGCACACCCCAGCATGTGCGGACAACAGTCTGAACCAGGGTGGCCAGAAGACAGCAAGCTGATGTCTCAGGTCAGTAGGGCAGATGGCACAGGGCCTCCCAGCCTGCTGAAAGGACCTGGTATGGTGGAGTACTCTGGAAGGCTTATAATTGGTTCTTAAGACAAGTCCATACCATTCAACTTCCACAAAACTAAATCAAAGGAATAAGTCTGTAAGATCCTCTACATAGTCACAAGACCCTGCACTCCATTGCCCCATCCTTCACCAGCCTCACCTTCTTTCTCTGCTTTCTGAGGTCTACGGTAACTGTTACTGCCACCTAGAATATTCTCCCTAAACACCCTCAACCCACAGGTACCACAACACTCTTCTCTTCCTTTCAGTTTAAATACCACTCCTCAAACCCTGTCCTGGTCTCTGGCTGGGTCAGTCCCTCCCACCACTCCTTCGGCACCTGGCTCTCTTCCTTCACAGCAAGTGTCCCATGTCTACATTTCCACTCACCTGAGAGTCACACACAGAAAACTCACCTGCTTTGTTTGTGACCCTGAACCTGATCCACACAAATACATGCAAAAGACAAAACCACAGCTGATTCTTCTGTCATCTAAACTAATAAACATTTAGCAAGAATGATCAAGAAAGAAAAAAAAAAGACATAAATAATTGAAAGAAGAAATGAAAGAAGGGACAACACAAATAATCTTACAAAATTAAAAAAAATAGTAACAAATAGCTAAAAGGCACAAATTATCACAAGTGACTCAGCAAGAAATTTAAAAGAATGAGCAAACTTTCAACAAGAGATTAGCTTGGTGACTAAAAGCTCCTCGTGGGCAGCCAAGGCCCAGGTGCCTTCCCCATGAATTCTGTCAAACCATTCTGCTGAAACCACTCACAAACCTGTGAAAAACAGGAGGGAACACTTCCCAGCTCACAGTTAGAACAGTGTACCTTGGTACCAAAGCCAGACAGCTCTCCCCAGGCAAGAAGGTTCCAGAACACATCCCTGATGAATGCAAACACAGAAATCCTCCCCGAATCCCAGCAAGCTGAGTGCTGCAACACACATAAAGACCGCATAACACACGTGGAAAGATCCACCTTTGGGGATATGGCCAGCTGGGCCTCAGAGCCTGCCTAATATAAAACAGCTACCAATGCTGAATGTAGGTGATGACTTCAGTATAGCTCAGAGTGACAACCAATTAGGTTGCACTTCCTATTAAGGTTTAATCACTTGAAGACTTAAACTAAAATGTCCAACTGACCTCCCTGTAAGAGCAAAACACAGCCGGATCCTGAGATCAGCCTCCCACATATACTCACATTCCACAAGACTGGAAGCGCCCACTGCTCAAAAGAGGTCAGGTCCACTATGTATTGCCCGACTCGGCACTCACGTTTCCCGGGTGGAGACTCTGACCTGGAAGGAGAAACACCATGCTCTATGGTGGTCCCTACACCCCCACGTCCCCACAGACTGATTTCTGGCAATCACCACTCCACTGAGATGCTGGCCTCTGCACAGGAAATCACCCATCTCCCACATGGGTTTTCTCTCCAGCAAACAGAGCTACACCACATGTCCACACCACCACCCATGTGCCTGACAGCCCGATGGCCAATGCTGCAGCTCCAGGGAGCCAGTGACAACTAGTACAAGGCCAAGAATCACAAAGTGTGAAGAATACACAGCTCATTTGCCTATGCTTTGTGTATAACAGGACTTCTGTGTCCCTGTTTACTTACTATGAAAGTCCAAGACAGATGAGGCCCTAAGACCCTCACTGAACCCAAGGAGGCTCTCAGCCCAGGGGGAGGCAGAGCAGCACCCCAGGACCCCAGAAGGTACCTTTGAAGAACTTAGCTCTGGTAGAATCAGACAGAAAAGTTCTCAAGACATGGACAGAAGGTCAGCTTAGAAGACAAAGCCCTACAGAAATGGGACATCATACCCCACTCGAGACAGAGGTCCCCTGGCACCGGACAAGGTGACTACATCAAATCCGATCCTTCTGCCTCCCTGCCTGACTTCTTCCGTGTAAAATCCATCCACGGGCACCCCAGATGACTGCAAAAGCTCACAGGCTTTCTGGATCAAGGTTGTTTTCCCAACCCCTGCAAGAGAAGAGGCAGCTCATCAGGAAGCTCTCTCCTAGGGAGCGTGCACAGTACCTGCCAGCCCCAGAGTCACAGCAGTGGGTAGAGAAGCTGCAGAAAGTGGATTTTATGAATATTAACTCCGTGTGACCCTGATTGTCCCAGGTGTTACGATGTTTCCGTTTCCTGTAGAGACAGGCTAATAACAATGTAAATGGTGTCGGGAAATTCACTTTGAAGTTCTGAAACAGTGTTAGTTTTGTTCCCAAGCACAGTTTGTAGCCTGTTGAGCTTCCTTTCCTTCTAGGTTTACTGTTCTCACTTTTCTAACTAGGAACTAACAGTGATCATGTCTGGGACAGAGAAAGGCACCAGAAACCAGGATTTCAGCCTTTAAGAGACATGGACCAATACTTCCTAGTGGTAAAATGGCTTTGCTCCACAATGGATGTCCAGAAAATGCATCTATACCCACAAACATCCGGGACGTGATCACTGGGAAGCTTCTTCACAGTGCAACCCTATCAGGTGGGTGGCGCCTTCTCATCATTTCCAGGGCCCCCAACCCTCCCAAGTTGTAGCCCATGCCCTCCACCTCTGGCCCTCTCTTCCCCCGAAGCCTGGCCCGCCAACTACTCTGACTCACCAGTGTTTTAACCACCACCAACTGCTGCCTTGCACAAGAACATTAAGCAGTGACATTAGGAGCAAGTGCTATTTGTGTACCTTGCAAGCCTTGGCTTTAAAGCCTCACAACCAAGACAAGGGAAGGTTCCAGCAGGCCTGCAGACTCCTGAATCACACCCTCCCAGTTGTCAAGGTGCCTCCTAAGCTTCCTTAAATTACCCTTATTTCATGTATCTCTCCTCCAAATTCCACACTGAGATAATGGTCTCTACAGGGATGGCAGCCCAAGAGGGTTCCAGCCAATGAGTCCCCATGACCATGTAGCTGGAACCATACAGAGCACAAAAGGCCTTCCGTTTACTTACAGTTATTAGTATGAAACATGGGCACGACATATGAAAATAATACATGGAGAAAGTCAAGTTACAACAGAAAAAATAACAGTATTATCCCATTCTTTAAGGCAATGTGTATATATGTCTACAAAAGACAATGTCCAGAGCACAGAGGCTTCAGTGCCCGTCTCTGTGGGTTGAGTTCCATGTGAGTGTCATTTTCTTAAGTTTTCATAATTTGGTGGTGGTTGCTCTTATACTGGCCCCCGTTTGCTTCTTCAGCTCTAGAAACCTCCTTCCGGCTGACTTTCACCTCTGTTAGTTGAGCTGCTACATGGGCTAAGAAGTGACAGAGGCTGAAAGACACTGCACCCTGACAGCTGCATACCATACACAGGCAAGAGCGGGTCAGAACCCTCCTAATTACTTTGGCTCTGGCTCTTTCCTAAGCAGACCCTCAGACAGATTGGAGGCCAGACAGATGAACTTGGAAGTGACATACTGGTTGGGAAGGACACCAACATGCGATACCTTCCCAGCAACTTACACTGTGGACAGCTGGAGCTCAACCCCTCTGGGGAACCCTAGGGGACAGTTGGCATGCTGCATGGCTCTGCTCAGAGCTATCCTCATATGAAAATGAGGTTCATCCCTAACTCTCCCTAGTCATGGGCTGAAGGTCCTTGGGTCAGGGGCTCTTGGCTCTTCCCCATGTGCAGGCAGAGAGAGCCCCTAAGGTGAGTCACAGGTACTACACTGAAAGTTAGAAAATGCTAAGTGGCTGGGCACTGGCAGAACTCAGTAAGAAGACAGTCACCTTGCTGATGATCTGAATGTGTGGACAATCTGGACAGGCAGAAATGGGGATAGAGCTGGTGATGAAAAGAAACTAACAAATGCAAGGGCAGGACCAAAACTCCAAAGGATGTGGGGTGATGTGTATAAAGAAATTAAGGGTGGCTGATGGCTCTGCTCCGAGTAGCTTTTTAATGATGCAACAGTAAACACTGACTATGGAGCCAATGAAAATTTCATAACTACAGGAAGACGACAGGAGACACAGGCGTGTGAGTTTCAGGGCAGGCTGGACAGTGCTGCCCTGGAGGGTAATAAAGCCTATGTGAACCTGCAGCAGGGGGGAAGGGATGGCATAGCAGAAAAATAAAACTTAAAGAATCTAAACATGAAGGAGGTCACGTAGCATAGCCAATAGAGTTGCATGCAACCATATACGGGTTAAACTTTGGTTTTTGCTTCTGTAACCTGCTTGCAAGGGTATATAAAGTAAGCCCCCTTGTTCTCTGAGCTCGGCCTTTGGACTCGAGTCCACTGAGTCTGTGCCCGCACAATAAAACGTTGCTTCCTGCTGAATTGCCTCGGTGTCCCGTGTGTCTCTGTTCGAGATCCCCACAATGAACCTGACCCTTTGATAAAGGAGGGAGAAGCAACCAGCACCAAAAAGGTTCCCTCAGCAGGACCCGGATGTGTGGAGACGGCCTGTTAAGCATGCAGGGGCAGCCCAAACACAGCTGGCACACCAGCTTTCTGAGGCCCAGAGGCTGGGTCTGTGCACTGAGCTGGGCGAGCGCCCCTGGGGTTCCCAGGCTATCCTCACACCCCACCCTGCTGCCTGATGCAATGAAACCTGCAGCACTAAACTCAACCCCCCCACCCCTCCCTCACCTTCCCCTCCCGATTTAAGGCCCAAGTATCAGGGAGGCGTGGGGACCGGCACACATGCACAGACCCCGCACTTTGCAGCCTCACGCCGCCCTGGGAGTGGGCGGAGCCTGGCGCGGGAGGCGGAGCCTGGCGCGGGGGGGCGGGGCCTGGGGCGCGGCGTGGGTCTAGGGGCGGAGTGGCGCAAGGTTGCCCACACGAGCTCGGGTGTCGGTGACACCTGCGGCCTCCGGATCCCCTGCGGGGCCCCACGTCAGTCCAGGGCGAACGAGGCTCGTCCACACCACACACTGGGGCCGAAGCTTCGTGGGCCGCACACCTGACCCGCTCTGCTCTCGTCTCGTCACGCCCGGCCCCGAGCGCGGCCCCCGCGGTCACCTGGCGGCCCGGTGAGGAACACGTGTCGAGCCATGTGCGAGCAGGTCGCGGTCCTCGCCGCCGCCGGGTCAGGGTCGTGGTCGTGGCCAGACTCCGCCCGCTACGCCCGCAGGTTCCGCCCCAACGACCGGAAGCCCCGCCTCTGAGGCTGCGCATGCGCGTCGGCGTCAGCCTGCGCATGCGCACGCCTCCCTTGGCTGGTCCACGCCTGTAGATGCTGCTTGCGTAGGGCTGAGATTAGCCTGCTCTTTGGGCTTCTTGCGCTTGTTCTTTAGGGCTGGACATAGGTGGGGTGATTGCGACGATACGTGCAATCGGTTTGGCTCCCAGTATCCTGGGTTCTGCCTGTAGGTCCCCCAGGGGTCAGGGTCAGCCCTTCCGCAGCAGGTGTGGGCTTTGGATGCCTTTCTTAAAGGAGGAGGTCCTGTGCAGTGCTCTCGCGCTCCGATCAGGGAGCCTCCGACCTGCCCTGATCCTGGCCTCCACCTCCAGATACTGCGTGTCGGAGGCAAGATGACAACAGATTTAGTTCAAAGGCCTAATTGGCCTGTTCTGCAATGGGTAGATAGATTGAGTGTCCCAAAGTGCTGAGCAGAGGAGGTTGGCTGTATATGTAGAAAGGGGCTGAAGAAAGCAAAAATAAAAAGGGGATTGACAAAGATCCCTCCTAGCATTCATTTAGTGCATGGATGAAACAGAGAGGACTTCCTCACTATGCTGACTTACCGATGGACTGGAAACTCCACAGCTTTTTATTTCAAAATTCGGTTTGGCTACCAGGCACTTAGCACTAGTTCTGATTTGGTCTGGTGTAGTGGGGCCTTGTGCAGAAGCTCAGTCAAAACAGTGGAACTTCAATGGACATTGTTTAACGGGAGTAATTGTCTTGGGTGAGCCTCAGCATCTGTTTCTTCCCAGGAAATTCATAAAGTCCACACTGGGCCTGCCACCCACTGGTGGGGCAGACATCCGTTTCCAGCCAGGCAGGTGAGCCAGACACCCCTTCGTACCTCCACACCCAGGTATTAACCACACAACACCCCCCTGGAGAATCTCCTTCCACAAAAAGTAAGTAGCTCCCCACATCACTTAGCAAATGAAGTGGTAATGGCCTTGGGCCAGACTGACCTATAGACTCTTTCAGACTAAGGTATAGTTTGACTTGAGATCAGTTATTTTTCCATCCTGGCTGAGAAAGCAGTTCCAGGGAGTGCTCTGCTTAATTGATCTGTGCCCACACAGGGACCTTCTGGACTCCCTTTAGCCTGCCATAGGTGGCAATCAAATGGCCTCAGTTTCTTGCTGTTTGGAAAGAAAGATGTGTATGATAGAGCTGCCACCATCCTTTCTGCAACATTTATAGCATCATATCATCCAAATGATATATTCCTTATTAGCCCAGTGGCTAATGTGCCTTCCATGGCTTGCAGCTGCATGTAGACTGGAGTGATAAACCACTGATGAAGCAAAGTAAATCCACAGAAAAGGAAGAAAACATGCATGCAGACACATATATCTCTTATATCTAAAAGATTAACTTTAAATATGTAACATTTTTCCATCCCGGACAAGCAGTCTGGACTGGCCAGACTGCTAGAAGTTAGTGATTTTCCTTTGATGCTATAAGGAATTCTGGCATCCGTTTAGGTTTGCTCAAGGACATACAGAATCCAGATGTCAAGAATCAGTGTTTCAAGGAAGAGAAAGAAAATTGTTCCCTAGATGGATGTTCTTTGGTGGGTGATCACATGGGTATTTTCCCTATATAATTCACTGATTGAGCACGTGATGTGTGCAGTTTTGCTCTATGTGTTGTTATATGTCAATAACAAATAGTTCAATGCCTTATGTGTGCTGGAGATTAACTGTAAAAGAAAGAATTAACATAATTAGCAACAAAGGACCATGCCGAATCTCACTTTTTCTCATCTTATGTCAAGGTGCAATGAACTGAATGTGTCCCCAAATTTGTAGGTGAAACCCCAACCCCCAGTGTGATAGATAGTACTGGGAGGTGGGACCCTTTGAGTGGGATTGTAAGAGGTGCTTATACTGCTTTAGCTAAAAAGCATGGACTCCTTACTCAGACCCACAAATTAACTAAAAGCAGGAGAGAAGCATGGCCTATGTCCTCTATTCTTGTGTCCATCTTTGCTCTAAGCCGTTCTCTCTGCAGTTACTTTGCAGTCACCTTGAATCCCAGGAAAGACAGATAACATCTTCATGACAAGGGACAATGCAGGTGGATGGACTGACCACCTGCCTGGCCCCACATAACAACTCGGAACCTCTCCCAGAACAAGGACTGACCTAATTAATATCCAACCCGACCATATCTGTGACTGGGACTGTTTATGCATACCTTTGTCCCTTGCCCTCAGTTCTGTTGTCTATTTAAGCCTATAACTCATGTCTGTACCCCAGAGATGACTGAAGATGAACTGAATGCCTCTTCCCATGGCACATCCCAAGTCTCATAATAAACCTCTTTTCTCTGCCTTCACCAGGCCTCTTTATTTGGTGTTTGGGGTGGGTGGCAGGACCTGGCATATGGACTCTTGGGAGTTTGGGTCTTGGGTCCAAAACTCCAGTTTCAGGGTCAGTGGCCTTACAAGACGATGCTATCCTTGTGTGACACACAAGGAGAACATAGCTGTCAGAGAGCCAGGAATCAATCAGAGAGCGAGGAAAAGGCTGTAACCGATAACCTGTCAAGGTCACACCCTGATCTTGGACTTGGGCTCCCAGAATTGTGAGAAATATGTATTTGTTTCTGGTACCCTGTCAGAGCCCTCTGACTTGAGACGAAGTGAAATCACCCAGGGATGGGCAACTGTAGCTCGCTCTTTCTGCAGCTCCTGGCATGCCTCCTGACCCCTGTGATAGACTGCAGTCCAGCTCAGTTGGCAAGGATCTCTGTAGTCTCTAGTTCTAGAACTCCCCCTGAGGCCCAGAAAAGTTTGTTTTGTTTTTGTATCTCCCTTTCCCAGGACTGTCCTGGTTTCCAAACTGCAAGGTCCCTGTCGTAGGAACCCTGCAGCCCCAGCTGGTTTGCTGGAGTGAAGAGGTTCTTTCTACTTGAGAAGCAATGGGAGCAAACAAGGTTTTCAGGGGGACAGCCAAGGGAAAGCTGAGAGGGGTGGGAAGCAGGCCTGAGTTGGCTTCTGGGGGCTTTGCAGTCGCTGAGTGAGGAATGCTGTGCTGTGTGGCTCGCCGGTTCAGGCTCAGGTCCCTTGCTTCCACATGAATCCCAGCAGTGGAGAATCTACTGTTTGTAAAGTAATGTGGCACTTGTTCTGGTTTAAATCTGTCTGATGAGTAGGAACCCAAAATCACTGCGTCTAATGAATATTCAACAGCTCATCTGGAAAGCTGGTTACTAAATATACCTCCCTCCTTGGCTCCCTCAATTCCTCCCTTCTCCTGTTTTGTTCCAGACACTGCGGTAAATAGTAGGGATCAAACGTAGCTTCTTTCCTGAGAAGGTTAAGTCAGAAGACTGGCTTTTATACCTGAGATCCAAATTTGTAAGGAAAAATGCAGATGTCTAACAGTCACAATGTTTTTACGTGTAAAATGGAAATCCCTTTATTTGAGCCCTGTGGGGAGAGTATCTTCCCACCCCCTTTAGGTCGCATGCTTTATTGGACAAAAGTTGCCAGCAAGAAAATTGGTGGTGTTCTTCAGCCAAGAGCCTTTTAATACTCTCACCTGTACAGGAAATTGTAGTAGGTGACATTCACCTGGTCTTGCTGTGTGCCAGGCTCAGGTCTGAGAATATTGTAAATTACCTTAGCTCCTTAAATCATCACATCAACTGCTTTTTTATACCTGGAGAAACTAAGACACAGAGAGGGCAAGACTTGCCCAAGGCTGCCCTCATCTGTCCGTCCGTCCATCCATCCATCCATCCATCCACCCAATGCATATTACGTATGCAGATGCTCCTTGTGAACGCATGTCCCCAAACCCATCCTGAGTTGAAAATGTCAGAAGTCAAAAATGCATGCAGTGGACAGCCTACAGTTCATTGTGGCTTAGTAGCACAATGCACCATGGCATGTCTGTTGCTCACCCTGACGATGGGTGACCAGGAGCTAACGAGGAGCTGCCGCCCAGTATTGGGGGTGTAGACTTCTTATTACTATCCAAGGAAAAGATCAAATTCACAATTTAGAAATCTGTTTTCTTCAAACATGTGTTCCTGCCACAACATTGCAAAGCTGAACCATCATAAGTTGAGGACCGTCTGCACACACACGTACAGCTACATTGCACATCTACATACAGTATTATCTGACTCAAATCCAGGATTTGGGGACCAGTGTCTGTTCTCTCAACATCTGCACTATCTTCCTGTTCACTGATGCAGCAGTATCACAGAACAGAAAGGGTCGTGTGGGGTTGCAGACATGGCCCATGGTTCTTCTCTTAGGAACACCAGACTCTTATCACAGTGTGATGAGAGGTCTACAGTAGAACTCACAGGAGCCGTGAGAGCACACATCACCAGGGACTGTCTCTGGCTGGTTCTAGTCTTGTTCTTAACCATGGTTTTCCAGAACCACAATCCAGATAATCTGGAGAAACCAGAGTCAGTCAGGAACCGATCAGGTCTGCAGGTGCCATTACCCCCAAGTTAACTCCAATCCTTGGAGGGAGGCTGAAGCCACATCAGACTCTTGCACTGTCCTCCTTCAGCCAGCACTGTGACACCAGGAAGTGTCACTCCAGCATAGCTATAAACTCAGTGGTGTCTACTCAAGCTCATTGTCCCTGTAAATCACACACCAGGGAAACTCCTTGCTGTTGAAGCTGGCCAGGCTGCACCATCCTCAGAATTGTCTGCATTGAGGCTGAGAGGGCTGCTGGTTTGAAGGGGCTGAGCTCACCCCATCGGGCCCTGCACCCTGGCTGTCTCACTCCCAGTTGAGGTGATGGGTTAGGCTACCTCTGCCCATGGGATGATGAAGGTTCTGCAGACTGACTAAGGGAGGACTAGGACTTGTTCGTTTTTCGCTTTTATTGGATCCCCTGGTATTCCAGTGAGGCTGCATGCTTCACTTCTTCTTGGGCCCAGTGTCAGTCCTCCTAACGCCATGTGTGGACCCCA